TTATATTATATTTTGATTAATTATTACTTTGGTTATTGAATTTCTTTTATTACCATAATTTTATTACTGTAAACAAACATGAATTCTAAATTATACTTCAAAATATTAATAAAAGTATATTCTGACTGATATGCCAAGATTTTAACAAAAACTTTTTTAAAATCCAACACATAATCGATGAAATATAAGCTTATAGAGGTATATTAATGAAGAATAGTGTTGGCAGAGAATTAAGAAAATCTTTTATCTTTTGTAGCTATATTTGTAAGTGCCTTTACTGTTTTTTAGTTGCTTTATTAGATCTATATCTTCTGAAACACTTGTCCATTAAACTTAATGACAAATATCGGCGTTGTCCAAAATTAAATTCTTTTCTAATCATATTTGCATGACGTTTACTTCACGAAAAACAATTCAGAATTTATTGTTTATATTCATCGATTTCGTAAATCCGATTCAGAAATATCATTATGTGGAATACGTTAAACCAAACTATTATTCAAGACATCACATGTTTAGTTAAAGGTTTGCCATATTCCAATATGGATCGTTTAACAACCGTGACAAAATTTATAGAAATTGTGAGAATCTATTGTAAATGTACTGATTCTGCAGAATACTATACATATTTCGTATCGAATTTTATTCATTGATAGAATAAATATAATCACTGAAGTATTTTGTGGTTGTTGGACATAACACCAAACCAAATTATTGCATCTGGGATGATGAAAAGTTACTTATAAGTGTCGAAAGATAATTTCATTCACAAAAAAGACAACTGTGTATGGTGTATTATTTGGTATGGCCTCCATTTGGTATGGGGTGTGGACCAATAGTTTTTTGAAAATGACGAAGATATGACGCATAGTCACAATTCCGATCCCTACAGTCAATTGATTTCTGTTATGTATTTCCACTTCGATTATTTGATAGAAACTGATTTATTCCATAATTCTATTATATATGTAGGTATTAAAACGTATTAAAAATAAATATATATATATAAATATAAGTATGTACTTATAAGTACAAAAACAACTTATACAATTTATAACTATAAATACAACTATATAACAATTAAAACAAATTTTTATGAGAAAAATATGATATAAATGTGAAAGAGATGTCGTTTAAACAAGAATATGTTACAAGTCACGCAACATGTGTAATTTCGATTTTAGTAAGTAAGAAGTATCCCAAACGTTTACTAACATGTTTCGGTGATATCAATTGATTACCATCATGATACGATTTAGCACTATTATAATTATCTTTGTGCTTTTGAGAGGTGACAGAACACATTGTTCGTATTCAGACAATCCACAAAGCTTTTGAAAATGAACATTCATCAAGTTTTGGGCAAGCTACTACATGCCGTCAACACATGGAAAACTTCTTCAAAAAGATTCGGTACTATATAAAGTCTAATAGATGATAAGTGTATCATAGAAAGCTTTCTCAAAAAGATTCAGTACTATATGATGTCCAAAAGATGGTAAGTGAATCATGGAAAACTTCCTCAAAAGAATTCAGTACTGTATTATGTTTAATAGATAATAAGTTATTGATATTGATCATTTACACTTAATGGAAAAAGCCCATAAAAGATCTATAAAATGGATCCACCTGAAAATGTACTTCAGTTTGCATTCAATTAAAAAGAAAAGCATAAAATTACATACACAGCTGCATAGTGATCGATTGATATCTGTCTTAACTAGTTTTGAGAATAACAATTCTTCCATCGAGTTTAAAAGAGATCAATTTGTAAGATCAATTTATGTGATATGTGTATGAATACTGTTTTTAAAATATTGCCGTTTTGAAAAACAATTACTTATTTTTAATTAGATAAATTTTTTTAAATTTATCATACATGACTAGTGAATAAGTTGAAGGTATAATTAAAGGTCTTTAAATACTCTGTACGTGTCTAGAACTGAACTTCATCAAACGTGGACCGTGAACCCGTATCTAACCACATAATGCGGACGTACATATAATTTTGCCAAAACGTACATATAGTTTTTTTGTCAATTTTGTTGTTTATTAATTATTTATGTATGAAGGAGAAATTTAATTTAAACAAATATTAAGTATTGACATTTATGCCGCAGTTGATTCATTATTTCGCAAATATATATTTTACATAATTATCAGAATGTAACAGGCAAAATTCATCAAAATATCGTTTTAATTCTATTTGTGAAGTTGGATATCAGCTGATTTGGAATTATATTTCCGCTTCGAAATTTGTGCAGTAAAATTAAATATAAACAAACATCATTTAATGAACCAAATTTGAATTGAAGTTAAAATGAGCCACTAAATCAATATTAACTAAAAATTAGGCAAATTTAATTTAAATTAATTGTACATTTGAAAACCTTAAAATTAAATTATTTGCCATCATGAAAATATACAAAATATATAATTTCAAATTTTATAATGAAATATCCCAAATTTTATTTTATCGAAGGATTTTAAGGACATTCGGTGAGCAATTAGTAGGAAATGGATATTTGTTTGTAAATGTGTGACCTTTCTTTTTTAATTGACTTTAATGCCATGCAATCATTTATATTAGATTGCGGAAAATTTATTAAAAATATTAATGTGAATCATTATAAATGTGTGACTGTGATTTAGTAATATTTTTATTTATTATTGTGTTGCATACTAAGAGAATTTCTACTACTTATTCCAATAGGATAGGACTCATGAATGCAAACTGTTCCAGTATTGTATAAACAAGCCTTATGGTAGATAACGATGATCCTTAAAAACTGTATTTTTTTTAAAATTTGAAATATAATGACTTTTTTATCAGATTAGACAATCCATATATATAAATGCGCCTCTTATCAGAAATTGTAAGTACTTTAAAATAGAAAGATCTGCTGCCTCTGTGGGTGCGTAGCATTGTGTGCAAGTCAGGTTACTCACCTTGGTGCGAAATCTTACCTTAATTATACGTTCAGAGTGTGACTTCCAATCTAGAAAGGGTTTTCTAGCGAACTTCGACAACAGAAAACCGACTCGGGCTTTTTGGTTGCCCCGCGGGTTTATCAGTGTAGATAAGGGCGTTTCCAACCGTGGTCGTTGTTTCACCAAAATCTGGTCTCCTGGTTTCCGACAATCCAAGTATATGAGTTCCATAGTTGTTACATTCTTAGCAAATTCATAACAGTCGAGATAGTTCCAGCAGCGTTTCAATATTCCATGATCCTATTCATGTCCGTGACCCAAGATGACCCAAGATCAGCACTACTATTAATATGTATATAAGCAAAAACTTAAATAACTTATTGGAGAATGGTATCTAAGTGTCACTCTAGATCAGATAAATTTCTAAGAAATTTTTCTTAGCTATTTTAAAAATTTAATTTCCGGAGTGTACCAAAATTGAGAATTTTAAAACTCTGTTTCGTATACATAATGTTGAGAGTAAGAGGCTGTGATAAACATAAATGGATTTTTATGTAAAAATTATAAAGGAATCACCTGTTTTAAATAGAAAGTGGAGAAACTCGCTCAGTAACTATTTGTATCTCTAAGTTAGAATTACTCAGAACCTTCAAAAAAAATCACATAAATCTCTTTTTGTGGTACGCCGTTTATTTATTTTTACATTTTAAATAAATTTGTTGTTTTAATGGTATTTCTAACATTTTATATTAATATTTCATTGTACCTCAGAAGACTTAACTCAATGCATAACAATCTCAACAGCAAAAAAAGAAGTCTATTATACTAGAAGGAACAATGTAAAGAAATTTTTTTTTTTTTTTGTATTAAAATTTATTGAAAGTAATTATAACACTATATATAATTATGACAAGTGCTGTTAATACTCGTAAGATTTGCAGGTTATTACGTATAATAACCTAAGAAAGTGCTTACAATGTTTTAATTTAAATTATACAAAAATTAAGTTTATATTAAGTTCTATTGCTAAGATAATCATCGCTCTAAGGATAACTAATATTAATAAAATAATTTAATAATAACTCTACATAATTTATGTAGTAGTGCAAATTAATATGCAATTGAAATATAAGTATATAAGTATACATTAAAATTAAATTAAATAAATAATTAAAATTATAGATAAAGTTATTTTTTAATTTAATTAAGCAGCGAATTTCTTCATGGTACTAATAAATAATAATATCCAATAAATTTCAATATTGTTACTTGATTTTAATTAGTTTTTGTTAACTTTCTTAAAAATTCTATTTTAGTAAAAATTTTTTTATATGTATTAGTCACTGTTTGATTTGAAGTCTAAATTTTTTTAAATACTCCATAATTTAGCAACAGATCAAATAAACTTTCCTCTTAATATTTGCATTTACATAGAGAGAGAGGGAGTCCTTTAGTATATTCTATTCTATAAAATTTATTTATTTTGGGATAACAATTTATTGAAGAACAAGAATCAGGTGATTCAAATTACATATGTTTTCTTTTGATTTAAAAGTTTTAGTTACATTCGATTATAACATGTCACAAAAATTTATATTATGTATATGTATTTATATACAGATGGGCTAGAACATCCATTTTCTAATTTTAACCCTTTTTTTGTTGTTTAGTCGCATTTACTTATCAAACTTAGGAGTTTAATAGACTTTATTGGCACAACTGTATTGTTTTTTAATATAATTTTGATTTAGACTATTAATCATTAGTTACTTATTATAACTACTGTATAGTAGTGGTATATAGTAACTATTATATACATATAATATATTCTTTACATATACTCCAATTTTAATAGAATTACAAATAAATATATTAATTATAATTAACTCAATTATTTAGATTTGTTTTGATTATTATCGGGCTTTGGTCCGGTATAAAAATAAAATATATAAAATTATGAAAATTTATATATTATTAAAATATTTAACACAAATTAATATGTGTAAATTTTTTAATTAATAAAATAATTTTTTTTATTTTATGTGTTAAATAAACGACCTAAGCTCGGTAATAATACTTAATTAATTATTTAAATTAGACACATTTTTTAAATTTCACTTATATCTATAACTAGCGAAGAGCATTGGATTACATTCTATATAGTATCATAAAAATTATGTTTCACTTTTGATAAGTAATGTTCACAGTGAGTATCTAAACTAACACCGCCACTTCCAAATGTAACGCACTTAAAAACATTGGAGATAAACATAAAATAATAATTGTTTAAAAATATTGTACTTTTGCTTTATTATCACACTTGAATCGTAACACCGTAAAAATTCTTATCTTAAAAATATCTATTTTATTAAATACAAACATATGTACAAACATTCGGAAGAGTTTAATGAAAAAATTCAAGTAGGCAATGTGGGCTGTATCTTCCATTCGCAGTCATTTTGCATTAGAGTGTCTTTTTGTTCTGTGGCCGTTTTAGATTTTTCATAATTTTTATGAAGCATTCGTCCCACATAAAGTGCGGTAATCACAGCATACGTAATGCCTAACAACATGCCAGCGAGCACATCGGACCAGTGATGCCAGTAGTCGGTGACGCGACTCAGCGAAATCAGCCAGGCTGGCATTAGTAGCAAAAATTGCAATATATGCCGAAGGGCACGATTAATGCCACGCCCCTTCCATACAGCATGCAAATAAAATGCCAGAAATATCATTGAATAGAAGGAGAGACCCGAATGAGCACTCGGAAAGGAAACGTGTAGCTCACGTATTTGACGCGATGATAAGTTTCGATTTGTGCAAAAATATTGTTCCACGAATTTGCCTTGATTCTGTGAATCCTCACAGGTACTCAAATCCGAAGCAATACGAGGCTGACATGCTGTGTAAAAATGCGGCCTTAAGCGTCCTACGACATTCTTTGCCAATTCGATTGTTAGGTAAGTTGCAATGAAGCCGAAACTGAATACCGCTTCGCTGCGCCACAAATTGTGTAAATATTTCCGCAGTCGAAAATGCTTACAGACGCGCATAATTTCAACAACGCCGATGAAAAGCATTGGAAGTAGTAGCATTAAAATGATCAACATGGGCACTGTGATGGTACACTCATGGTATGGATGACGTAAAGTCAGGTCAGTGCAGAAGAAACCACTTTCAAAGGTCCGCATGATCGCGTCTGTTAATTATGCGTAATTGCGAAAATTTCACTTCCTTAACTTTTACTAGTAATTTTACTAGTTCTTCGTCTTCTTCTTTTCGTTTGCTGGTTTCGTTAAGTATTTTTATTATTTTTGTTATTTTTTTGTTATATTTTTGTTAAACAAATTAAAAGATTTGATGTTTTGTTTATTTTGTTATATGTTGTTGTTTTCTTCACTGAATAATTCTCTCATCAATAGTTTGCATATTCGATTTACGCGCGCTTACTCGTTCGACTGAATTAGCTGCGATCTGCCCTCGTCTATTGAGCGGCGTGCCAGACACTTTTTTCCTTTTGTCCGATTGTCTCTATAATTTTATAAAACAAAAAATTATTTAGACGCAGAAGTTTCGCATTGATATTGAATTTCAATGGTATTCGTTATCAATGGCGCTACGCCAATAAACAGTGCGCATCGACAGTAAACGTACATTCAATTCTAAGACAATATATGATAAGTTAAGAGTACTACGTGTCCTACATATGTCACTCTTACAAATGACACTTTAGTTTTAGGTGTTTATTTCAAAGAAGGGTAACTTTAAAATTGATTTTAAAAATCAATAAACTGGCCTAAACTGAATGTTCCTACTCCTCCATTTTTGCTTCATAAGCTAAACCCATTGAAGCCCAGATCAGTAAACTACGTCATGAAATTCGCCTAGTAAGCGAAGGACTGCAGATGCAGCTTTTCATTCTTGTAATAAAAAGTCAAGTTCCTATAATTAAAGGTGCAGGATATTCGGCAACAATTTAGTCGAAAATGAATATAGCTTATTGGTAATTGAACTGTTGGAATGTGTTAACTGATATATGTATTGCTTCATAAACTAAACCCATTGCAGCCCATATCGAAAAGCTATGCTATGAAATTTGCCTAGTAAGCGAAAAACTTCAGAAGCAGCTTTCCATTGTTGTAATACAAAGTCAAGTCCCTATAATTTTAAGTGTTGGATGGTCCGTAACATTGTGTGCAGAACCGAATACAGCCTGTCGAACTTATTATTAATCGAACACATATACAATATATGTATATTTACATAGAAAACCATGACAAATAAGCATATTTTTCGTGATTTGTATACTCTTCGTTTTCCAATAACGATATATTTGAGAATCTGCACTAAGTTATTCTGTTTTAATAGGAAACAGCCTTTAATTTTGGGTTCTGAGGCTTGAAAATTGGGAGATGATATATTTTCTATGTCCCGCATTTATACCAAGATATAAATTTCACAGGCGATTTCGGAACCGCATATTAAATATAAAAGAAATATCAAAAATATAGACATCTTTAGTTCTTTCGACTGTAGAAGAGTAAATCAAGAGTAAATCAGGAAATATTCCAAAACATGAAATATAATGTTAAATATATAATAAATATGAGGAATAATTTCCAGTGATAATGGTTATTTGACAATATTCGAAACAGTCGTACGGTCAGCCAAAAATTCTCTTAACTAAAAATAATCAAATTTTGTTCTTGCAATTCACTACTGTTCGAAAAATCTCTCTAGAACTTTATTTAAATTATATGAAACTTAAAATTATTTAATCAAATGTCGCAATGGTATTGAATTCTAGTGACTTAAGGAAGTGGTTCAGGAAACACTGTAAACAGTAAAGAATACTTGAAAGAAATTAGAAAATAAAAAAAAAATGTATACTCGTTCGTTTTATTTATATTGATATTTTTCATATTTGACGTCGAACACGAATTATTTGTAGATAATTTTTAAACTTACATTTTGATCTGTAAAGAGCATTCGGTTCTTCAAAAAGAAATGCTGTTGTTCGCAGACTTTTCTTATTGACTGTAATTCTTACAACACGCGTTTTTAATCACTTGTAGGGTTTCTGGTTGATACAAAATACAAGCCAGATTTCCATATCTATAATTAATATATTTTTAAAACCATTATTTGTTTAATATTGTTTATTATAGTTATTTATTTTTAATTTTTTTTTAATATTTTTTTATTTTTTTTTCTGTTTGAAGAACTTTACTCTTCACTCGATCATACGAAAACTATTGACATAATTCAAATTAAGTATGTTTGAATATTCATTAATGTCACTGTAGAAATTATTGCTTTGCTCGTATCTAATGAATTTCCCTGACTTGCTACTACGAGTACACAAAAACTACATTTATCGTGTGATTTATGCTCGAAAAATTTTTGATTTCTTATCAAAAAATCTTCTGTGAATGTTTATTTCTGCGTAAAATACGAGTATACAAAGAAGTAATCAAAAGTAATCTAATAATTAACAAATAACTCGGTACATTGACGTAGCGCCGAGAAACAGGTTGAGGCCCGAGCACTCTAAAACGCACCTGTTATCTCAGTTGAGAAAGCGAACAAGTTGCTTCGTGGCGGTGAGGAGGAGAGGGGTTCCACAGTGCCTAGCTGTAATTATAATTGTCTTATTTGCTGATAGAGCACACAGTGAGACATTTGTATAACAATTTGTATATTTTATTTATACACAAATAAATTAGTTATCACAAATTCCAACGTAAATTGAAGATAATGTGGAAGTAAGACTTCGCCGCGACGACATTGCAAAGGTGCAACGTATTTAAGTGGGTCTACGTAGCACTGGCCAGTCAGATACAATCGCCTACGAGTGGAAACAGAATTTCACATATTTTTTCAATTTGTCTTAAGTACATAAGCGGTCGTGGCATTTGTTGGGTTTTTATTTCATTGAAAAGTACGGGTATTTAACTTAGGAATCTCGTTTATGCGGCACATAAGTAATTTTTCAATTTTTCTTTATATTTCTTTATATTTCATTGAAATTAGCATAAACGACGTTTTAAGTTCTGCCATAATTTTACTTTCGATAACCAAAGGAGGGGGCAGACTAAGCGGCGTGGAATTGAAATTACTTTAAAAAGACATCGACATTAAAACTGCAGAGCATATAAGGTCTTATGCACTTATTTGAATAATTATATCTGGATTAGAATGGTAATTTCCTATCAATTACATATGAAATAATGTATAATGAAGTAATATATAGGCACTACTGCTTGCCTAGTTTATGGAAATTATTTATAAATAATAGATGAAATAAAGTGGTTTACATTGGCATTAAGACTCGCAAATAGCAGATATAGTCATTTTTCACTAGCAAATAAAGATAACTTAATGACATAGCAATCAGTTTTAAATGCCTAGTATTTTATATGATAACTACAATAAAAAGCATTAAGGACGATAGTTTCACTTGATTTGTATGCCACGTATTCATCTCTATTCGGCAGTGGAGAATAGTTGGTTCACTATTGATCACAAATTATTATTTTTGCACACATTCAATATTGAGAGTAAAAGTATTAAATCAGCTAAATACTATTTTCTTAATATAAAAATAGAATAATTTTCATTCATTCAGATCAAATTTTGTCAATTAGAAATAAAGATGATCCTACGAGAAATTGAGATAAATATTTTGTTTCTATAATAAAAGTGCATAGACGTAAACTCTAGAACGTTGTTATGCTACTTAAATTGAATAAGTATATGTATATATGTTTATATGATTAATTGGTTGGTTGGTTGGTTGGTTGCAGTAGCAGTCCATTAGATAACTTTCATGTATCTTAATCAGTGATTTTCTACCGTTTTGATATCACATTCCTAGCAAGAACACCTTATATATAACAGTAGAGACCGAATTCATCCCGTCGAATTTAGATTTAATTTAATAGATCTCTCGTCTTTACCGATGAACAGTCTGATAAAAAAGTGTCTTCTTAAAAACCTATATCTTCTACACACCAAAGCTGGGCATCCACAGTAAGAATGTATTATATTGCGGGTTTTCACAACTTCTACGGATTATGAGGAATGCGCAGTTTTTCTGCGACGGTTGCTATGATTATATATGGTTTATATGATTGATAATTATAACTTAAATAAAGGCATAGCTTAAATAAATTATAACTTAATCAATAAAATATAACTTAAATAAACTTATTACGTATAATATAATTGCAATAAATCAATTACACAAACTATTTATAAGTTTGCACTCCATCATCTTAGCTTGTGTTCACTGATAATATTAAGATATTTTGAATATTAAGTTTTTAGTAATAATAATAATAATACTTTATATATTTTATATATTTATATTTATATATTTTATATTTTATATATATATATTTTTATATATTTTTTTGAACTAAACACAGTGTTGGTAGTGTTGGTGTTGGATCATTAGTGTTGGTAAAGAACTCTTGCAATAGTGACAATGACTTATTTTGTAATTCTTTTATTGAAATCTAGGAAATCATAATATCTATTTTTAGATGGAGAAGAAAGACCATAATGATTCAAAATGACAGCAAAACTATGCTTAAAGCGCTAAAGAACACAATTACGCATACTCAATGACTGGACAAAACTAGCACATAACTTGTAGGAATCGGTTCTAATATGGTACCTGGTAAGGTTGATTCCCAAATACTCTCAGCTTTCTTGAAAATATCGGATGTATTCTGTAGAACGTTTTTGCAATACATAAAGTACGCAATGGACTTTTACGGTCTGAGTCTTACGCGACTGTTTTCGATACGGAGATTTATCGGGATTACCACTGAAAATAATAAAAGCATTGTATTGAAAAAGATTTGTATCGTATATGTCTCCAAAAAGTATTAAACAATATTTCAAATATATTAGTTAACAATTCTTTATAAATTAAACTTGATAGTTAACGAAAAATTTTCTGCATTATTAACGAAAAAGTTTCTGTTTCCCAGGGCAACGTACCGACCTATACTACGTAAGTCGTCGTGGCAAAGTGTTAACAACTTGAAATTTTAAGAACTTCAGGATCCGAATTCCAATCAACTTCTTTCCTCTAGAAAGTCAGCTTTTAAGGAGAAAATACGAATGAATTGAGATGATGTTATTTGCTAGTAATATACATTTAATAGATCTGGAAAGAAGTGAATTAAATTAGGAGGTCTCCAGATCTAGCCGCAGATCTTTTCAAACATCCTTCATATAATAAGACACTATTATTTTACTGTGCAGTTTATTACTTATTTTTAGTAATATATAATTTACTTATTAAAAAATTTAACATCTGTAAAATGATACTTAAAAAAAAACTAAAATAATTTATTACTTAATTCGCAAATACAAAATTATGTCTGGTCCACAGGTATTTAGAGGAAAAAACTCGCACAACGTATGTCTACAGTGCAATATAAAGATTGAGTAGAAAAGACTGGCTTTCACACTG